TTTTCTTAGAAAATCTTAGACAGCTGTCTTCTTGTAAATCTTTCTTGAATTGAAATTAGAAATTTTCATTTCTATTTTATGCATTTCTTCAAATATTTTTTTTTTTTTTTTTTCATTGTCCTAGAATTTTGTTACAATATTTTTGTAGTCACCGTGTAAACTAAATAACATTTCACGAATCGAAAACTTTTGTGCATTTGCGGTCATCCGGAAAAGTTTTATGATATAGCAATTACTTCTTAATCACGGGAAGAGAAACGGTCGGTGTTGCGAGATCGCTTCTGCGAAGCGATGGGAATCTCGCATTGTTGTTGGATACGTTTATACAGCAATTAATAAGCACGAAGACAGAGATCTGCATCGAATCTCTTTGTTTAAGAACGCCTCTTTAGGTCGCGATGATTGCACTATTGCCTTAGGCAATTATGCGCTCCGCCGGAACTCTTCCTTCTCAGCCTTCATGAAAAAGATTCCCTTGAAACGCCTTGCAATGCAAAGCAATTCTGCACTAGAAAGCCGATCTATAGGATCTACAGGATCTTCTCTTTGCATATCCTTTCAGTTTTATCCAGACGTAACTTTAGCAAAATTTAAAAAGTTGATATTTGCTTGAATTTTATGTTATTTGTCAAAGTATTACGAAAATATATGAACTGTTCAAGGAAGTGTTTGTTCAAGAGTCTGTAGAATTTTCTGTACTTTGGAGAAGGATCACAGTTAATCTGAGACACCCAGTATTATATCTGTGATCTGTAAATCTCCTTGTTCTCCACACTCTATCTGGTCCGTTCGCGATTTATGACTATCGCTCCGTTGAAAAATATCCGTCGGTGTTTGCGTCGGTCGTTCGACAAGTTTTCTTCGACATCTTTCAATGAATTAGTCATATATATACTATATCTGGATGAATAATCGGAAATTTTAATTGGCCTGCGTTAATTGAACACTCATCACGTTTTATTAAACTCAGTACGTTTTATTAAAATTGAACATCTCGTAGATTTATTAAGCACAATTCTTCTTTTATTAGTTTCTTTTTCAGTCTGTCTATCTTTAGATATCTGCAATCAAAAAGATATCGTTATCACCTTTTAATCTTCTAATCTACCACGCGATGCGGTATTCGCAAGTGTATTAGCTGATATAGATCCTTTTGTTAAATTTTTTTACACAGAATATGGAAATTCCAAGATACTCATAAATTATTATTTATATGATTATCTATATTGAAGATACAATAATTTATTAAAAGTTAATAATTTATTAAAAGTATGTATACTTGCATATTCTAATATATTAAATTCAAGAATCGAAAATATACGCATTTTATAATCTAAATAATATTAGATACAACTGATCATTCTGCAGTCATATATTCACGATAATTAGTTTCATCATTCGAAGCCTCTTATTAATATCGAGGATTATTGGCAGAACGACTAATCATCAGTCGTCCTCTCGTCGAATCTTCCAAATCGCCATAAGCTTTTCATCCATGTACACTCGAAATAGCGTTCAATTTCCCTCTGGCAAAACAACTTCCCGATCCTTCCACCCATCGAGGGAGTCAGTTCGCCCCTTTCTAGACTTCGTCTCGATTCAATCTCGAAGCAAATTTCCGCCTGACTACTTCATCTAAGAGAATCTACGAGCGGAAATGCCTTTCGTGGAGTACAAAAATTCGTTTATATTTGCTATTTTGTTAATCATGTGGTTTATTCGAGGAAATGTATCACAGTGGGAAAGAAAATTAATATCAATCTAATAGTCATCTGAATTTTTATTCTATTTTTTTTTATCTATTTATACATAAGACTGCATTTTTGAAAATCTTAATACCTAATAATTTAATTGAAATAACTACTAAATACGATTATTAAATATAAAAAGTGATTTGATTATGAGTGGATACAAATTGTTTATTTCGAAAATAATTTTACGAAATTAATGTATGATAAACGTTATTTATTATATTTTCCTTAATTCTTAATTGATAAATTTGAATCTTATAAAATGTAAATTATTAACAATTTTAACCGTTAAAAAATATTTTACATTTCATCATTTTTTAATTAAATCGAATCTCTCGAAGCAAAACTAGTAAAACTTATAAGTACAGATGTCCTTATTATCACGTTAAAATCAATATGTACGTAGTATGACGTGTGGCTTTACTTGATATCTCGATATATTCTCAATCGCCTCGAATAAAACTTTTTATGATATTCATTGAAATGTTGAACAATATCCGTAGAATATTGTTCTTTTCTTCGTTGAAAAAGTTTCATTAACGAATCAATATTAAATTTATTTGCTTCGCTTATTGCTTGATTTAACAAGCAATAAACGATATTCATATTTCGTGATTAATATATAATGATATAGAGAGAAATCAAAATTTATTTATATTATTTTTATGTAAATTTAACGATTTATTGTTGTTCAATTATTAAAAGTACTTTTTGTAATAAATTCTATAATTTTTCAATGTCTATACCTTTCGTACAAAATATCGTGCGAAAATTTTCCAACGTGCTGACGCATTTGACTTAACGACAGTTTTGTTCTGCTAGATTGTCATTATGTAATAGAGAGAGAGACATCTGAGTCACACATAGATACAGACATACACATGTTTACAATTCTCTGAGCTTTACCCAGTCATCATCTACTTGCATTAAACCGCGGTAATCCACGAGATTGCAAGCCTCCCTGCGTATCTATCCGCTTTATTGTCTACAACATTACGAACATTGCAAAAAGAGGCGATACAGCGCCGGTGCTCAATAAAGCTTTATTCCTCTGTCTACAAAAAAAAAAAAAGCCTGTACACGTGCCGCTTGTTTGCTTATCGATACATGTGATTGTAAAATTGAGAAAAAAAAGAAGTGTGGAGGAAGAAAGAGGGAATCGACTGAGTTATGGTTCTGGGTTCTGTGTGATCTGCTCTGTTCAGCGATAATCGTCGCAGTGCTTGACGCCTTAAAAAGAAAAACACGCGTCTTCTTCTTCGACAGAAACTAAATCCTCTGTGCAACGTCAGCGACCGGTTTGGCTGTTGAATCGATGTTGAAGGCTTATCAACGACCGATACGTTATCTACGAAGGATCGTCTTGAGAAGACGGGATCGGAAGGGAGAGCCCAAGAGGAAACAACGGCGAGCAATTCCCGTCTTCGTTCCCACGTGAGAGATCCCCTCGATGATGGACGATCGAGAGAGTCCGTTTGTGCGAACGCAGGCCAGCAGAAGCCTGATTCGGCCGCAGGCAGGCGCGCGAAAGTTCCTAACGCCGCCGTCGCCCGCGGAAAGGGTGGTGCGTCAATTGGTAAATCGACAGACCGCCGACGAATCGGAAGCGATGAACCGGATGGGCATGCCGAAACGGCTGTCGGCGCCGCACGCACCCTTGGAGGGCCTGAAGCAGTGGGAACTGATCGAGGGTGACAGGGGTCTGCAAGTGGTTGAGAAGCGGACCGGTGGCTTGAGTCCGATCAGGCCCAAGGAGATGGTGGTCCCAGCCGCGAGTCCGGTCTACAGTCGCGCTCCGGTGTCCGTAAAGAGGCTTCTCAGCGACACGAATGTGGACGCGAATCTGGAGAAGTTGAGGGCCTTCAACGAGTCGAAGATTATCCAACCGCTCGGGCCTCCGTTTGTCCAACAGCAGCGGACAACGGAATCACCGGCGCCATTCACCCCGCAATCGGCGGAGCCCAAGGCGCCGCTTAGTCTCGATTTGATTCTGAAGCAACAGCGAACAGCACCGGCGAAACCGGCGGTCGAAAGTACCGACATGTTGCAACGATTGGAGCAGCAAGTCAAGGCCATTGAGATGGGCACGATCGCCGCGAGGACACGTCAGCTGGAGAACAGCTTGAACTTTGGAGGGGAAGTCCAGCTTAGATACCGGGAGCACGAGGATCTGCTGCGAAACGTCACCGACGACGAGGCCGAGGGGTAAAATACATAACACTCTGTCTGCATCATTATATCATTGATCATCATGTCTGATACTTTTCGCACCGGATACATTATTCGAACGTCTGACTGTATATCTTCTCTTGTTTTTTTTTGTTTTTGTTTGTTTTTTTTTTTTTTTGTTGTAATTCAAAAGTAGTCTTGAAGCGAAGAAGAAATTTTTCATCGAAGAAAAACGGTAGTCACTACATTAAATTCTAGTCTAAAGACTAGAACTCTTTATGATTTTACGATCAATCTATGATGATCATTTTCATTGAGAAGCAAGAATGGGAAATATCAGTTATCAGAAAACGAATAATTTATCTTTACATCTAGACAAAGAGATTGATCGCGTTTCGAAACTTAATATCATCCACCTACGTGATCTCGTGTCTCGATCTTCGCATCGGGAAGTTCGAGCCGTATGGATATGTCAATCCGGTCAATATCCGAGAAACGTATACGGACACACGCACACACGATCGAGTTATCACATTTACAGAGCGACGATAGCCTTAGTGATAATTGAGGAAATCGTCGTCCAACCTCCGCCTAATCCTCGTCGCCGTGCCGATTACCTACACGCCTGATTCGCACAATTGACCGTCCGATTTACCCACCCACACGTGTCCCTTTCCTCCGATGCAATTGGCATTTAGTTTACGCAATGTCGCAACCGTGTTCATTTCAGTCGGTGATTTCCGTCGGTCGGTTTGTCGCCATTTATTACACGCCCAACCGGGAGAGATCCTGCGAAGTGGCGCGCGTTGCTAGATGTTTCGATGGACAGATGTACCGGGTGTGTCACCGACTAGCTCGCAAAATATCGCACCGATAATTGGAGTCTGATTTTATTTCGATAAAAAAATATCGAGATAATAAATTGCTGAATGATCGAAAATAAGCAATTCCGCGCGAATTATATCCATCGATCTGTAAACAGATAACAGAAATGTTATTTTCCGGTTTATTTCGAGTAGACTTTGTCGTAACAATATTATATTTTAATCGAAGATATTTCGATACTGAGAAGTTTAAAGTTTATTATAAAAAAAAGTTTACAGCCATATTTGTCTCGAAACACACGATTCTCCTTATCTCTCTTGAAACGATATCTCTCTCTCCACACCATCCAGATATACATCATCATAAAAAAAAAACATCTAAATTCCAACAACAACGTAATAAAAAAACATCTAAACAGACATAAAAATCTATTCGATCATTTAACGACTGTCATTCTCGCGACGTCTCACGAAACGTCGAAGGAAGAATCATTATGACGAACGAATCGTAATAAAAAAAAAAGGGCCTCGCTGTTGCAACGTGGGGACGCGACGCGGAATTCCACCGGAAACGCCGGCATCGCTCCAAAGAAGCCCACCGTTAAGTTGTCCAGGACCGCCTCGGACACGCGACGCGGACAAGAAGTCGAGATGAGGCCGCAGTCCAGGATGCCGCAAACTCGCGCGATCGTCCGACCGATAGTTCCTAAGAAGGATCATCAGCAACCGCAACAGGAGAACAACGCCGTGGCCGTCCCGCTCAGGCCGTTGTCAGACATGCAGAAGGGTATTCCGAGCGAGAAGGAGGTAGATATATAATATGTATATATATATACGTATAGGCAGAGCATTATCGCTCACATCGTCAAAAGCGTTATCGGGGACCATTGACGTCTTGTCAATAAAATGATTTTTATCTAATTTAAGGAAAGCGGCACTTTCCGATCGTGAAATAATTTAGACTGCGTATGATATTACGCAGTTATCGGTAACTTTTATCGAGAATTATCTAGCGATAATTCGTGCGAAATCGCCATCGGGTCGAGTACTTGGATATTAAGAAAATAATAAGTGACGTAAGGGAACAATGTTGAAAAAAAACGATCCGCAGCGCGATCACGCGCGGATTTTACACTCGTGTATCAACGATGTGATGACACCCTCGCTACCGAGCCTAATACAACGAGTGGCAACACAAATGTAGTTCTACACTACGTCACGCGCGCGCGCGCGCGCGCGCGCGTGTGTGTGTGTGTGTGTGTGTGTATGACTCGTCCGCGGCTCATTCGTCCGGCCTGAAATAATCCGAATGACTTCCTCGCTTCGTCGATGCGCCATACGTTGCGACGATGTCATCAACCTACAACCTGCCGAAGTCAATTAAGCTCGATACTGAATACATACATTTCCAAATGCCTCGAAAAATTTAAATAGACTTCTTCTTTTGCTCTTTTTTTTTCCCCTTGAAAGATATTTATGCAAAGTACATACACGACTCTTTGGACATAAAACGTAAAAACTGTGCAAATAAAATATACATTTATTTTTCTTCTAAAAGTATATAAATTAAATGAATTTAAATTTTAATTATTTTAATCTAATTGCTTTTGAGCGCATTAAACACGTTTTTCTCGATAATTAACAAAAAGTATCGAGGATAGTTTACAAAAAATGTAGTTTTTACACACAGAACTTTTTTACATATGTCAAATATAAAAAGTATAGCTTTTAATATCGTGCATCATTGTGATCTCGATAAGCCGGCTAAAACGAAACTTTATTTTTACATCTGTATCAACTTTTGCATCGTTCCATAAAACAAAATTTCACTTTGTGCACCTTGTGAAAGCGGAAGAGCTTTGTTTTACATTTATACCGTCTATATATCTCGCTATTTCCTATTTTTCATGTTTTATGAAAACACATCATAAATCATAGTCTTTGAAAAATATAGAAATCCAGTCACTATACAAGTATTTCGTGAATTTTATTGAAATCGGTAATGTTTTTAATTTAAAATAAATAATTTCCAATTATAGTATGTGAAATATAATCAAAGTTAATAAAAAGTATTTAACAATGTAAAATTTAATAATATAAACTTTAATTAACTTAAATCAATAATATTAATTAAGCCGGGATAATTACAATTTTTATTGCAATTAAAACGGTACATTGATAAGAGTAGTGCGTATATTTAATGATAATAAATTATTTATAAAATTGAGTTTTATTTCTAGTAATGTTTATTTATTTTATTATATTTATTCTTTATATTATTGTATGTATATATTTGTTTATTCTAATCGCGATATATAAATAGCTTTACAACTTTGCTGAAAAGGTCGATGGTCTATAATTAATATATTATTAATTTAGATAAATTCAAATATGTTGAGTTATTCATAAAATGCATTAAAGCGGAAGAGAGAAAACGGCTTTATCAATTGAGAAGAGACTATTCGCTCTTTCATTTAATAGGACATACAAAACTCCACGGAACTCCACGATTTATTTGCCAACTCATGTGTATGCGATTCTGTTTTCCGCAAAAGAATTCGCCTTAACTTGAATCTATTCTTATCTGCCTTTTGCGTGAAATGGATGTCCACGACTCTTCTCTTGTCGTTACTTTTCGGTCGATTGATCAGCTAACGGAACGCGCTCGCTTGCCGTTGCTCCTTTCAGAAACTTCGATTTTTATCATCTTTATACTTATTCTCGAGCATCTTTGCCTAAGTCACCGAGAAAAGGAATCAATCGCTTTGGCGAGTATAAAAATAAAACTTATCATAACTTTGCCTCCGCAATGTTATTCGAATGAAACTTATCTTTTTTATAATCACCACAATATTATGGCTATTTGCTCCAATTTAATTTACTCCTTCATCCTCGCTCTAAAATCTTATACCGTGACTACTACCGACTATACTATTGTCATGATTTAAAATAACGCGAATAATAATGTTTCGTAACGTTTATTTTTTTCTAATTATTCTTTTTTACCTACGTATAAACGATATTTTAAGCTATGCGCTCTATATATAATCCTTTTAATTCGTTTTTACATGAAGATTGAACGAAACTTAATTGACGCAAGCTATCGTTTAATCACATTCAATACACTATCAGTGTCATATATAGCGCTGGACTGTATGTTCCGATAATCTTCTCGATGTTCATGGCAGCAGTCTGATTTGAGCGGCTGACGAGGCGAAAACTTGTTAGGTAGGAGGACGATAAAGGTGAAGATGTGGCATCCCACTCTTTACGTCCCACAAATGTGTGCGTCACCATCGGGATATGTATATATCGGTATCTTGGAACTAAAGCAGTCGATTATTTCTCTCGTAGATAACTTTTGAAGGCTGAATTTTTCTTTCCTTTGATTTTTTTTCTTCTCTGAAATATAAAACAATTGTTTTTTTTTTTTTCTAGTGTACTTAAAAAATTATATTAGAAACAATTGTCTGTTCTACAGTGTTAATTAATCCTAAGGAAAAAGCATATGTATCTTTTACAACTGATGTTAAAAGATTTTCTTTAAAACGCGCCGATTGCGCTCTGCGATCCGATCAGCTGACCAGCCTAAAACCCTCTGGTGTCTCGGCTGAAAGGGTAGAACACGGAACAAATATGTGTTGGTGGTTCCCACTTTCCGCGACGCATGCGTCCCCCTGTCGAGGAGGGGGTGGCGGAGAAGGTGGGCGAACGACGCCGAGGCTAGGCATTCAAGGGTGGTTCTCTCGCACGTTTCCACCGGAGGGGGTGGCGGCGCGCCGTGTATTGATTCTGCCTTCGCATCCCTCGACTGTATGGTCTCTTCTCCGAGGGGTGGCTCGTTTCGAGGGTGAAAAAGGGAGAAGGCAGTCGCGCACGGTCGTCGTCGACGTCGACGACGACCAGAGCAACCGTCTCGCGTTTCTCGCGATCGTCGCCCCTTCTCGTCGCTCTCTTTCTCTCTCTCTCTTATTAGAACACGATGAGGTGGTGCTTGACGATTGTGACGGGTGAACGGGGAAGATCCGCGAACAGTGACATCGCCTTTGCCCTTGACACCAGCACGAAGATCCTCGCTGACAGCGGCTCTTTCGTGGAGAATTCGTCGTGAGACACCTAGTGTGATGTTGAAACTTTTATCGAATTTTACAGCTTCGATAGGGTTTCCCTTCCCCCCCCCCCTCCCTCCCCCTCGCCCCACGAAAATCTTCTAATGTGCTCATTACTAATTTGTGATCGTGTTTTGATGAAATGTTAGTGAACTATATCGTCTGTAGTGGATCGACGTTAGATGTGAACTATATTGACGAGGGATGGTACCGTTGACGTCCTATCGTCGCTAACGTTGAAGGTTGAGATAGCGATTAGAGTGGTCAGTGACGTCTGAAAGAATAACAATATATGTGTGACACGCCTTCGCAGAGAGATATCCTTGGATTCGATTGCGACCGAATCGGGAATGGATTGACAAATAACAGGAGCGATCTGCATATCTACGTTCCAAGTTATTTTTATTGAGACAAAGTCTCAGAAGCTGTTGTTTTATCCGTTCGCGAAATTACATTCCGCAAGAGAAACAAAACTTTCTGAAAGGGAATAAATATTCAAGTAACGTAAGCTACTCCGGTTGAGTATACAATATCTTGTCTTCGAGAAAATTCGATTTTTCCTGTTTCACAATCGTCAATACTAGTACAAAGAATGTAATACTAATGAAATCTATCGGGCCATGATGTTCATCGCGGAATTATATCACGTATTTTATAAACTATCCGCGTGGTGAAGCAAATAGAGAGAGTTATCAATGTAATTCAGATAACGTTGGCGCCCCCCCGAAAGGGAAGTGTCCCTTTAAAATCGCAACACCGCAAGTTCACGGATATAATCCGTTTGTTTCCTCGGTGGGGCTCGAGGCTCGCCCAGCGAGACAGATGATAGCGATATAGCAATTGGTTTATCATCAAAGTACAACGGCGGATATTTTTATATAAGACACCGCGTATATCTCAGTAAAATGACCCAACGCGGTGATACGTGCCGCGAGTTGACTCATCGCTCGACTTTCCAAAACGATCGACCACAGAGACCGCACTCGAACATTTGAAAATCATCGATTTTCGCCATCGAAGAGCGGAGAGTTAAATTAGCCCTAAGATTGTTAAAAAAAGGAAGGTATAGGTCCGTGAGAGAAACGACGTGACTTGCTGCGTCCACGTGGAAGGAGGGGGGAGGGGGAGGGGAGCAGTAACGAAAGATTGAAGAACGAAGTGAGGCGGGATTGAGAGATTTAGTCTCTCGATTTATAGTCTGCGTTCGAACTTTTCTTCTATGCGCTTCTCTCTCGCGAGACATCGGCGAGCAAAACGGATTGATCAATCTGCCGGCCGTTTAGATATCGCGCGCATGCGAGCGCGCAGAAACCGCCGTTCGCCGTTCGTCGGATCCATCGTCGATCCGTCGTCCATTGATCGTTCTGCTGAGACTCGCGAGCAATCAAACTGGCGGCCTCTAAGGTTGCAGCCGCCACCAACTCGCGCAAGATGGTCACGCGTGGCCTCCTGCGGGTAATAATACCAAAATCCAGCAATATGAATTCTCAGATCGATTATTATATTATTCTTTTTTTTATCTTCTCTTCCTTTTTTTTTTTTTTGTCTACTATG